CAGTGCTCAGATGAGTCCACATTTCAACTTGTTTCCGGGAAAAATGGATTTCGAGTTCTCAGTCCCAAAGACCAAAGGAACCATCCAGACTTTCATCAGCGACAGAAGCAAAAGCAAACATCTGTCATGGTATGGGGGTGCAGCAGAGCAAACAGCATGGGTGACTGGCATATGTGCGAAGGTACTATTGACATGGAGGCATATATTGGGATTGTACACAGATATATACTGCCATCAAGATGATGTCTTTCATGGGATGTCCATGGTTATTAGATCAAGACGATGCCAGCTCTCATTCTGCATGTACTACAGCAGTGTGGTTTCATAAAGACAGAGTGAATGTGCTAGACTGGCCAGCAGATCTGTCTCCTATTGAAAATAAATGGCTAATCAAGAAAAGGAGAATCAGACAACAACAATCACAGACTGCTGAGCATCTGAAGTCTTGTATCAAGCGAGACAAACATTTTGCTTGCAGAACTTTAACAATTAGTATCCTCAATCCTCAAACAATGAAACATTGTAATTAAAAGGAAGGTTGATGTGACAGTGTTAAACATGCCTCTATCCCAACTTTTTTTGGAGTGTGTTGCAGTCGTCAAAATCAACATTTGTTCATATTTACAAAATACATTTACGTTGGTCAGTGAAAACTTTGGAAATATTTTCTTTGTACGTTTGTCAATAAAAAAGTTCAAATTCTTGATTTTAGATTTTTTAACTTCTCTGGAATTTATTTTTTTTTTTTTTTAATTAACGCTTTTTGTGCAGCAAGAATTAATTCAATTGATCAAAAGTTACAGTAAAGAAATTTGTTACAAATTATTTCTATTTTAAATAAATGCTGTTCTTTTGGACTTGTTTATCAAAAAATCCTGAGAAAAAAAAAGAGAGTTTCAACGGTTGATTTAATGAGACTATTTGAGAAATTATTGATAATAATGAGATTTTTTTTATTGTGGACCAAATCAGCATATTAGAATAATTTCTGAAGGATCATGTGACACTGAAGACTGGAGTAATGATGCTAAAAAAAAACAAAACTTTTTAAATATATTCAAATAGAAAACAGTTATTTTAAATTTTAATCATTTCACAATATTACAGGTTTTCTGTATTTTTGATTAAATAACTGCAACCTTAGTGAGCACAAGAAACATCTTTCAAAAACCTCCTGATCCCATAAGTTTGTATTGTATAAGCATAAACAGTTGAGTAGTTGTTGTAATTTCTTGCAATGTCCCCATTTCTAAACTGCAAAGCTGATCATTTATTAATGTATTTTAAAAATAATGTATTGTAAATGTTACAGACTTTTTTCTTTAACCAAATTAAAAATAAAATATTGTTTTAAATTGTAATCAATTGTCTCAACTCTGCACCATATATATATATATATATATATATATATCATAAAGAACCCACAAACACACATGACACAGCTGTTGACAGCAAAAAAACATCAAGAAGAATCTATATAAAAAAAGCAACCCTCCTCCACTGTCTGTCAGAATATATTAACAAGATGCAGATTATACGAAATAAAAATCTCTAGAAAGTCTTGCTAACATGACCCCGGGCATCATGCATACAACTTTGCATTACCTTCTTTAAATACATAGCAGAATTTGCATATACACCCACACCACTGGGTCACGGCTTCAGCAGAGCAGCACCACAACAAACTCTTGACATGCACGTCAGAAGCAAAAAGCTTTCTCAATCTAATACATCTACTCTCTCATCAATGTGCCTCACACACTTTGAGTTTATACAGCTGTCAGAGACTGTAAATCAGATGTCAGTGACAGGCATCATCTCCTACAGAGACAATGGAAAAAATAACTCTTCCATCTGACCATAAGTGTGACTTTGAGCTGTTAGAGCTATTAGAGCTGTCATTAGCAAATGCTTCTCCGGTTTGAAATACCTTAAGGAGTTCACTGAGATTTTGCCTGCGTTGAGAGCAAAGTGCCATAAGAATGGAGTTCCTAGACTTGCAATAACTTTGATACACTGCAAAAAAGTATAAATAAACACACACACACATACACACACACACACACACACTGTATTACTATTATTGATATTATTATTATTATTATAGTCTCTTTCCCATTGTAATGCTTGTAAATTGAATATATGGTATGTATTGAATATATAAAAGTAAATGTAATGAATTAAAACATGTATAAACGTATATAAGATAGATAGATAGATAGATAGATAGATAGATAGATAGATAGATAGATTATTATATAGATTATGAAGACATTTCTTTAGAGTAAACTGATGAATCATGCACAATACGGCAAAACATAAATGTGCCTTGAGAAAGAGAAAATGGTAAATTTTTATTCTATGTCGCTTTCGAGGTACTCAAGGTATGTGCTGGCACATTTCAGTATATTCATTTTATACATCTCCAAATGGGATATTTGTGTACACTACAGTATTAAATGTCCTGAAAGATAGTTTGTGAGAGATTGAAAGTGAAGTATCACTAACAGACAATACACTAAAGCAAGGCTAAGTCAATCGTGCTTGTCTTTTTCTCTTTCTCATACAATCCCCTCAATCGGTTCTCATGTCTCCTGTCTGAATGCATTAAGTCCTTGTACACCATCTAAAATAAACTCAGTCTGGCAAACCTGATACTGTCTCTCGCCACAATTCCATTAAGCTTTTCATCTCCAAAAACTCTCACCAAAGTCATTGATATGCCTGCATGCTCTTGACAACTGTGCAAAACAAAATTCTTCACAGTTCCCCTGCAAAATGCTGCATTAGTCTTAAGTAAAGGCCAAACGTTTACAAATCTGGATGGACTGCATTATCAAAGCACTAGTCTGCCAGTACTGATGAATGGGATTTGCGAGAGCCTGTGTGAAGGCTGTGAGGTGTCTAGAAAGTGAAAGTGACGTGACGTGACATGTGGCCAAGTATGGTGACCCATGGTAAGTGCTCTGCATTTAACCCATCCAAAGTGCACACACACAGCAGTGAACACACACACACCGTGAACACACACCCGGAGCAGTGGGCAGCCATTTATGCTGCGGCGCCCGGGGAGCAGTTGGGGGTTCGGTGCCTTGCTCAAGGGCACCTCAGTCGTGGTATTGAAGGTGGGAGAGAGCGCTGTACATTCACTCCCCCCACCTACCTTTGGGTTATGAGTCCGACTCTCTAACCATTAGGCCATGACTTCCCCACTAGTGATTATCATCAACAACTTCTTTGCTTTTCTAGCAGTATTTCTCAAAATAGTCATTATATTGTGGTTATGACTATGCATTCAGATGCTTGTGTGTGTGAGAGACAGGTAAAGTAGTGAAGCGTGGGGTGTTTCAGCACCATGCACAGTACCGTAAATTACAATAAAGGAGTGGAGCATTTCAGCACCATGGACAGCGGCATATTTTACCTCTATGACAAATAAAAGAAAATCAACAGCATGTTAGTTGAAACTACTTGGAGATTTGACATGCATAATGTCAGAGGCTGTGTGGTAATGTTTCTTGCTTCAAGGTTAATGTGATTGCAAACCATTTTACCAACTTAAAGGGGTTATCGGATGCCCATTTTGGATGCCCAAGTTGATATGATTCTTTAGGGTCTTAATGAAAAGTCTGTAACATAGTTTGGTTAAAATTTTTAAAATTTATTTTGGATGCCCAAGTTGATATGATTCTTTAGGGTCTTAATGAAAAGTCTGTAACGTAGTTTGGTTAAAATGTCTCAATGGTAGTGTAAAACAACACTGTTTCTACCCTGTCAAAAACAGCTCTGTCTACAGCATACTGTTTTATTGCATTCCGCTTCCTCTTCACTTTTTTCCTTCCCAATCCTTTTTGCTTTTCCCAAACTTTCCTTCCTTTTTTGTTTTCTTCCCTATTCCTTCCCTACAATATATCTTTCCCATCTCCCTTCCTTTCTTCTTCCTGTCCTTACTTACTTTTCCTTTCTTCCTTCCTGTCTTTCCGTTTTCCTTCTCTTTCATTTTCATTCCTTCTCATGTTCATTTTTCTTTCCTTCTTTTTCTTCCTTCCTTATTTTCCCCTTCCTTTTGTCTTTTTATCTTTTATTCCTTATTTTCTGTCTCTCATTCCTTCCTTAATATATTTCTCTTTCCATCCTTATTTTCTCCTTTGCTTTTTTCTGTCCTGACTTATGTCATTCCTTCCTATATTTATCCTAGCTTCTTTGTTCCTTTTCCTCATTCCCACTACATTTTCTCTCCTTTCTTTTTCTTCCTTCTTTATATCTTGCCTTCTATCCTTTTTCTTTGTCCTTCCTATTTTCTTTTATGTTCCATTCCTTATTTTAGTTTTTCCTTTTTTCCCTTCCTTTCTCCCTTCTTTCTTTCTGTCTGTATTTATCTGTCATTCCTATATGACTCCTTCCATCCTTCTTTCCTTCCCCCTTCCATCCTTCCTTTGTCTTTCCTTTGTTCTGCTCGCTATCTTAACTTTTGCTTCTTGACACAAAACAAACTGTGTCTCCATTAATATTTAATGGTTCCTTGTAAAAACCCTCAAACAATGTCCACCTCTAATGAACACCAAATTCATCTTAAAGCACTCTAAATCTTGTTCTCTCTCCAACCGTCTGTCTTTATCCCTGAAAGCCTTTACTCTCCACCTCATTCTCCAGGGATGCTCTCCATTATAGAGCCGAGATCCAAACAATACAGCACACGTCAAGCTCTATTTCTGAACAGTGAAGGGTGCCAGTGGTGTATTGTATTGCTCACAGCTGTTTTCTGAGAAACAAACTTCACAGTCTAATATGAACAAGTCATATGAAAAGCTGGGCAGTGTAGTTTTTAATTGTACACCTACTTGACGAAATGCGGCAGCAGTTTTAAATCTGCAAGCAATAAAAGCACTATTGATTCACCTTCACAGACACAACATGAAAAGTCGTCATGAATTTACCAGTTTTGGGGTCGATGGAGAAGTATGGCTGTCCGTGCAGAACGCTGTACACCACCCGTGCACTGTTTCCATATGTAGGGTCATCTGCGTCGGTCGCTGTCACTTGAAAAACTGATGTACCTGCAGAAAGATAAAGAATAAAACATCGATGCTGTGAGTTTGAAGGGTGGTTTGAACGTACCTAAAGGAATATCTCACAACTTTTTAAATTTGATGAAAATCTACTCAGTTCATCCAAGATTTAGATGAGTTTCTTCATCAGAACATATTTGGAGGAATTTAGCATTACATCACTTTTTCATGAATGGATCCTCTGCAGTGAATGGATGACGTCAGAATGAGAGTCCATACAGCTGGAAAAATATCACACAATAATCCACACGATTCCAGTACATAAATGAATGTCTTGTGAAGAAAAAGCTGCATGTTTGTGCATGCTTGTAAACAGTGCTTGGTCTGTGTATATTTCTCTCCTGATTCAGATGTTAACAACTTATTCACTGGAGAAAGCAATATTATGGATAGAAGACTCATATTTTAACCAGAAGCAATAGTTTAAGGTTAAAACATTTTGATGGATTTGTTTATTATAAACACAAGTCATTCATTAATGGACTGAAGGCGTGTGGATGTTTTTTATCAGATGTTTGGACTCTTATTCTGATGGCACCCATTCACTGCAGAGGATCCATTGGTGAGCAAATGATACGATGCTAAATTTCTCCAAATCTGATGAAGAAACAAACTCATCTACGTCTAGGATGGCCTGAGGCTGAGTACATTTTTAGCATATTCTGGTAAGCAAGTGAGGTAACGCTACATTTTTTTCATTTTTATTTACATTTAGTCATTCAGCAGACACTTTTATCCAAAGCGACTTACAAATGAGGACAACAGAAGAAATCAGAACTAACAAAAGAGCAACAATATGTAAGTGCAAATGACAAGTCTCGGTTAGCCTAACGCTGTAATGGGGCCGACGAGATGTGAGGCGTGAGGATCCATGTGCAAGCTTTTATTTATAAACACGGTCAGAACACAGGCAGGGTCAAACAATGGCAAACTGGTATGGTACGGGCAAGACACAAGAATAATCCAAGAGCAGA